TGATGCTATATAACTAACCTTTGAAACTAAAAAAAAAGTGAAAATTTTAAACATTTGTGAAGTGTTTTACATATATTTGTGTTTAGCTTTTTTAATAGCTTTTGACAACAGTCCAATTAAACTCCCAACACAAAGATTTAGAATGGATAATACTTATACCCAAATTAGAGTACTCAAAGTGGAAATTAAATTGATTCACTACAGGAACAGACATAGTCTGCTTCATTCCTAAAAGCCTCAGCTAGATAACCTAACTCCAAAGTCTAAACTTAAATCCAATTGGTTAGCTACTGTTGAAGAGCAAGCAGCTCCAGAAAACAAGCCATGGCTTCAGGCCACTGTTCCTTAGAACAATCCAGAGTAGGTAAGTGTTAACATGTCATTTATACATATTAATTCTACAACTACCTTTAAAATGCGTACGTATGATTAGAGCAATTCTCTTTTCTACCCATATCCCTCACCACAAAACAAAGAACACAGATTTCCACAGGTTCCATTGACCACAAAGATGTAACAAACTTGACGATAAAGGAAAAATACTGTATTCTGAAATAAGACAAGAACAAACCAGTTTTTCAGAGTTCAGTATGAACGTCAAATTAAAAATTAACTTAGCATCATGTGATCTAGGTTAAAATATTAATAACCTGAATTGAAAATATAAACTGTGAGAGGGGCTCAAAATAATTTTAATATTAGAGAAAATGTGAAAATAAAATTTTAGTGAGTCAACTGAGATCTGCAGCTATAGCATGCAACTTCTGTACTCTATTAATTGCCAGTTAATTAGAGAAATTTTTAGAGTTCCTTCTAAGCCTTTGGAAAAAGTAAATTATTTTCCAAAGAAATGAGAATTAAGCTAAAATTCTAAGGAGCTATGTTCTAGATACTATGCTGACAGAAATGTCTAGGTCTAAATATTTCTCTCTCACTCACTTAGCATAATTTCTTTGTAAAGATAGAATTTATCTTACTTTGTCAGACTTAAAACGAATCCAAAGTTACCACAGTACATGTGTATACAGATACTTATTTTCTAACTAATAGTCCTTTTAAGGATTAGATTTATCTCTAAGTTTAGACATGTTCAATGTCAGTGTGCTCAATATCAATACTATATTTGAATGCAACTGGGAATTTTCCTATCAACTGTCTCAAACTATATACTGACTTTAAGTAACTCCTCCCATTCTAAGTAAACATTTTCTTGAGCTAAAAAGTAATTTGTTAAAGGGGAGGGGAGTGTTCCAGCTATTACAGAAATGAATGCAAAGAATGCCTAAAGTTATAATGAGAGAATCAAGTTGTTCTATAATCTATGTTCTTGAACTACTTTTGCCTTTAAAATGATCTTCCCAAATACTAAGAATTATCTGGTTTTAAAAAAGCATTCTGGCTTATGACCTTTTTCATGGGAAAAAATGAGAGAATACATTAAGCTATATTCAGATAACTTTCAGTGTCCTTCAATGACCTAGCTGGGCCAAAAATAATGTTATATAAATGAAATTTAAGACCTGAAAGGTTCTTGTTTTATTACACACTCTATCACCATTGATTAATCAGATTCAATTTAATGTTTTTGCTTACTGATATCCAATAGTATGGACATTTTATAAAACAAATTATAATTTTTAGATTACTTTTGAGATTGAAAAAGCCTGATATTGAGAAAAAGTAAAGAGTTAACCTTTAAGGCACATGAGGCTATAAAGTAAGCCATGAACAAAAATCTCTGCTAAAGAATCTGGAAACAAGACTTCTATATTTGTCATATACTAACATTTTTGGCTTAAATATGAAGACATTTCATTAATTTCACAATTTTTAAAGCTCACCAGAATCTGGATACCTTTATACAGAAGTTTCTTGGAATTTCTCCTTTAAGTGGCAATTAGCACTTTTAAGGAGCTAAATAAATGAGATGTCTGTTCAATCTGTAGAGTCATTAAATTACAAGTCAGTTTCTGGGATTAATTCAGCAATATCTGGTCAACCCGAAGGGCTGAGGAAATGGACAAAACTGCCACAGCCTAACAAAAAAGTGAGACGAGTCTCATGAAAAAAAAGTGCTATTTTATTGTAAGTTCTTGTTAGGGCAGAATGAATTAGCCCTTTAAATTCCACTAAACGTTATACTACATTGCCTTACTTTGATTCAGTTGCAAAACTATAGAAAAAGATATGCCATTTTGTTTAATTCAAGGTCCATACTTTGAAAAGCTGTGCTGGGGTCTCATAGACTTCTACAAAAACTCTTTTTTTTCTTCCAGTTTTATTGAGGTACAATTAACATACATACAAGGTCTCTAATAAAATGTTTTTGAAAAACTTGAGGGTACTTTATCATGCCCTAAGTTAACAAAGGTTATGTTTAAAGGGGAGACACTTATTTACTCCAGTGTCAATTCTCTACAGATAACACTGACACTCGAGCAAATAAGTCTCACATTTTTATTAATTTGTTAATTTGGATTTATAAACAGGAAAAATACTGAGTTGGATTTGTCTTAAACTCAGAGATATGTCAGACTGAATAAATTATGACTTAGTCCAGAAAAGAAATAATTCAAACTTGAATTATCTACATGAGACATTAAAACAGAAAAAAAGTACAGTACAGCACATTAACAAAAACAAGAACTTTTTTATCTTTTTATACTGTTTTTCTGGGGGGGGAGGAGATGGAGAGAGATTTTGTAATCTCCCTCTTCCATAACACAAGCAAGTCAAGTTGTTTTATTTTTTTTCCCTTTAATCAGAAGAATTATTTTCAGTCTCCTTCAAACCAACTTTATAGGCAATCTCTAGTTTATAGTAAAGACGTGACATCCAAATTTACGCAAAATCTCATGGCATACTTTACTATAAACATTCAAATCTTTATAAACTTTTAAAACTGGCTTTGTGGTGCTTTGGTAAACTTGTTTAATAGTGACTTAAGTTAAATCTAAGGTAATAAGACTATGTAATTGTTGGGAGAGTGAAAAAAATGGTCGTATTATATCATGACCCTGTTAGGATTTTCTTTTACTGGTCATTGTCAATTGTTTCCAAGTATTTAACAGATAAATGTTGCTCTATGGTCTCCAGAAGTGGCCTACTTTCCTGGGAAGAATAGGTAGAGAACAGACAAGTCATTCTCTGGAATTTTGCTTTTGCTAAGAGCAGGCAGAGAATTCAGCTGCATTTGCTCTTCTCTCCATTTACTCTTCCTAGACTTGGAAGGAAGACACAATGAGGTTGACCCTTTCCACCTTCCTCAAAGTATTCTGGGGTCTATCCCTAAGCTCTTTTTGGGCCCTCTAAACAAGTTAGGAGCATCAAAGAAAGGGTAAGAGGAAAGTCAAAGGGAGTACTCCAACTGAAAACCATATACATATACTTTTATATTTTAGTAAAATTTAAAGTATGAACTTAGTAGTCTTCAAAATCTTAAAACCATACCACAGACCTCAGCAAAGCTGCAATACATCAATTTTTATCCTCAGTTTCAATTCTTTAACCTTCAAGGAACTAGAGTAAAATCAAAATTTCAAAACACATGATTGTAAGCAAAGGTTAAAAGCCTTTATATCAACTGAGAATTAAAAATTTAAGTCATTAATCTTTTTCTTAATGAGCCACTTGATATGATAGTTTAAAAAAGTAAAGATCCTATCACATAACCTCTGACTCTAGAGTTAAAAAAATATTGATTACAGTTCCTCCTACAGAATCATGATTACCTCCCAAAAGTTATCCATAATAAAAATTATGAAAGTCAGAAAGCAGCTTGTCAGTAGTATCAGTTTCCATCTTCTTTAACCCATGTGAATGTTTAGACATGTGGTAGAAGAAAAGAAATAATACTACTTCTAATGTTCATAACAAACTCTCCATGAAAACATTTAAAGAAAACCCATGATTTCACATCTAAAATTAGACTTCTATCAATAGCCAACAAGCGAAGGTTTTTTCTATATCTCACTGCTCCGTGTATTTCTAGCGATTTATAGAGAAGTTTAGAACTGTAAGGGTTTTCTTTCGTTAACTTTGAACATTAGCCTGTTCACATGCCAGAAGCTGTTATACCAAATATTTAAAAATTAGAGCAGTGCTGGAAAAAAAAGAGTGACTTTCAAAAAGAACTTAAGAGAGACAGTTTCACAGACTAAAATTTCAGAAAGCCATGGAAAAGCAGAATTGGCTGTTTTGCTTAATTGCCTTCTCTATTTGAATATTAATCGATATAGCATCAAGTCTGAAGTTCAGCTACTACTAACATTATTTCCTCAGTAGTCATCACTTACAGAAAGGATTCTGAATTTACATAAAGTGAAAAACAGAAACAAACCTAACAGGAAAGACATTAGGGCCTATTTTTACACCTTTGAGTTAATAATAAATGAAAATAAAACTAAACCTAATGAAGGCACTATTGTAAACAGCAATCTACACCCCACACCCACAACCTCAAAACAAGATTTCCACTAGGAATTGAGACTTATGCTATGGCCCTTATAAAAAGCAAACTAAAAAATTGTAACATTAGGAAGGAAAACTGAATTATGATCCGGACATATGTACCTATACTGACATAATAAGCTACTTGTCAGCAGTACCTTGAAATCTTCTAAACTGTAAAAGTACTAGTTCTTGAAAAAGCCTACTTAGCCACCCTAAAGTCTAAATAGTGAAAACATTTACTAAATTAGTGATTCTTAAAAGTAGAGCGTGCAGAAGAACCTGGTGCTTGTTAAAACACAATGCTGGGCCCCTCACCCAGAGTTTATGATTCACTGCATCTGGGATGGAGCCTGGTAGTATGCCTTTCTAACAACTTCTCAGGTGATGCTGAGGCTGCTGGTCTAGGGACCACCTGCTGAGAACCACTGGCCTAAATTATTAATGGTATATCAGCACAACCCTAACCAAAAGTTTGGTAAAGATGCATGTAAACAAATAAAAGGAGAATACTTTAATGCTTAGAAAGAATGCTGACAAATTCACCCTTATTACATCAAAACATCTACATCTGCTTCATGGTCTTCCTCAGTCACTTTCAAGGACAGCACTTCTTCATTGAGGAAGAGCCCACTGAGCCTCTCCTTCCGAGCCTGCCTCTGCTCTTTCAGCTGCCTCTTGCGTAAGGCCTTCTGCTGTAACTTCCGCTGCTTGGATCGCTTCTGCCAAAATAAAAATTTCTCAATCAGTAAGGTTCAGTTTTGCCATATCCACCCCAGAGTATTTTATGGATCAAATTCTGTATTTTCAGAATTCTTAGAGATGTTCAAATTCCTCTGCAGTATGATCCTGGTTTCAGTAAGTGAGCCACTGGCTTAGACTTGAAAATGATTCTTCAAGATTCTATTTTTATGGTATTTGACCAGTGAATCTTAGGAAAGGTGGACATCTGATCATTTTATCTAGTTACAGATAATCAATCATTTCAAAGCCTTTTTTTTTGTTTTACCAAATTAAGGTACATTGGTGTCACTGCGGAGTGAATACACAGTGAACAATACTAAATATAAATGTAGAGAACAATGCCAAAATCTCTAATGCTTATGCTTTTAAGGTGTCTTTCATCTGAAAGCACTAGCAATTTTACAACAGCTGGGAAAGAATCCTGTCTTTTCCATTTTAGGCAAATACCATCTTAAAAACCCATTAGAAACCCAGTGGGTACTCTATTCCTTGTCACTGGTGAAGTGATGCAAAAAAGGAATGACCACATATCCAGAGGAATCCCCTGGCAACCAACAAAGCTGGCTATGTTTCTGCTACTTTGGTAAAAGCCAGGGAAGGAATCACTGTGTATCTTCTAGTCACCACTGGGTTCCCAAGGAGTTACACAGATACTCTTATTATTGTTCAGTTGGCTCCAAACTGTACCCACTGCAAGGAACTGAACTCCCCTCAGTATCACAAAACCATTCTTTTTTTTTTTTTTTAATTTTTTTTTTCAACGTTTATTTATTTTTGGGACAGAGAGAGACAGAGCATGAACGGGGGACGGGCAGAGAGAGAGGGAGACACAGAATCGGAAACAGGCTCCAGGCTCTGAGCCATGAACCCAGAGCCTGACGCGGGGCTCAAACTCACGGACCGCGAGATCGTGACCTGGCTGAAGTCGGACGCTTAACCGACTGCGCCACCCAGGCGCCCCTCACAAAACCATTCTATATGCACTAATACTTCCCTATTTTTTACATGCCCAATAATATTACCAAGAATTTCTCAACTGTGAATAGGCAGAAGTTAGAGAAGGTGTTATTACATTTTTAAAAGATCTAAGAACAAACACTCAAGGTTAACAGAACATTTCACACACACACAAAAGACATGCAGAACATTCTTAGGAGCTAATAGACAGCAACATCAGCAACATAGTGAGATCTGCTCAGTAGTGACTTGCAGTCAATGTTGCAATCTTGAGACTCACTCACTATTTCCACCAATTTATCTTACTTAAAAACAGACACAAAAATCAGATAAAATTGAATGTGATATGGTTGTGGGTCAAAACGGTATTTCAAAGTACTCAGCCTAAAGGGCTTTACTCAACAGCAGAGTAGCCTGCTTGTTCAATTAAAGCCAAAGTCCACCGGCATCCAGAGAGCAAGATAATTTTAACTCTTCAAGAAATTTATATGAAGGAGTACTAATATTAATATTGAAAGGTAAAGTTTTGTATTGATTAGACATTTTACTTTTGAATCCCGAATCCGCTCTGCTGCACTTGCAGACAAGTTGCTGTCACTGTGTGCTCGACTCATGTTGGCACTGGAGTTTGAAGCAGAGTTTCCAACACTGGACCCACTGCTGCTTGCAGAACTGACCATGCTGGCACTGCTGCTGCTGGCGCTGGCGCTGGCACCGCTCACTCCACTGGTGCTCGCACAACTAAAGTTGCTTCTCTTCCAGGCCTCTCTTGCAGGCCGTTGGCGAGGGCTATGCTCCTTGATATAGTTTCTGACCTTGGAACACACAGACAAAATCTGGTTAGTGTTCCTTGACATTCTCCCTCAAAATACTGGAGAAAAGAAGAATATTGTACATAAAGTAAAAGATTATCCAAAGTGCTACAGATGTACTCCTCATCAAGGAAATGCAAGTCAAAACTACAAGGAGATGTCACCTCACCCCTGTCAAAACAGCTAAAATCAACAACATAAGAAACAACAAGTGTTGGTGAGGATGTGGAGAAAGGTAAACCCTCCTGTACTCTTTATGGGATTGCAAACTGGTGCAGCCACTATTGAAAACAGTATGGAGGGTCCCCCCAAAATTAAAAATAGAACTGTCCTATGATCCAGCAATTGCAGTACTACGTACTTACCCAAAGAATACAAAACTACTAATTCAAAGGGATACAATGCACCCCAATGTTTACTGCAGCATTGTCTACAACAGCCAAATTATGGAAACAGCCCTAATGTCCACTGACTGATGAATGGATAAAGATGATATGGTGTGTGTACACACACACACACACACACACACACACACACACACACACACAGAGGAATATTACTGGGCCATAAAAAAGAATGAAATCTTGCTATGTGCAACATGGATGGAGCTAGAGAGTATTATGCTAAGCAAAACAAGTCAGTCAGAGAAAGACAAATACCATATGATTTTACTCATATGAGGAACTTAAAAAACAAAAATGGGCTAAGGGAAAAAAGAGGCAAACCAAGAAATAGACTCTTAACCATAGAGAACAACCAGATGGCTACCAGAGGGGACTGGGGTGGGGGGATGGGTGAAACAGGTGATGGGGATTAAGGAGTGCACTTGTTATGATGAGCACTGGGTGTTGTATGTAAGTGTTGAATTACTAAATTGTACACCTGAAATTAGTATTTCACCTGAAGTTAATATGTTAGCTAGAATTTAAATAAAAACTTTATAAAAAAAGATTGGATTGGATCCTGGGATAAAACAAGATATTAGTAGAAAAACTGGTGTAACCTGAATACAGTCTGTAGATTATTTAATAATACTGTAACTATGTTCATTTCTTGCTTTTGATGAGTATACCAAAAAAAAAAACTTGGAACTAGATGCTTAACAAATAGAAAGTGAAAGATAGTAATTATGAAGAAATAAAATTAACATTTATTGAATAATGATTTATGAACTTGGATTGTAATCCAGGTTGATTTGTTTGACTCTTTCTTGAGTTGTAGGCTCTATAAAGACAACGATCATTTGTTAAAGTGTTTTTTATCCTACAGCTTAATACATGATAGACACTTAATATTGTTAGATAAATAAATCAAATAAAAAAGTGCTACAGATGTACATAAGTAGACTATAAGGACAAAAGAAATTTCTCAATGTAGAAACAAGTACCAGAAAAATTGACAATGTCAAAATTCTAGAATATTGATCATGGAGTTATATTTTAGAAACATATAATATAATCAGTCAAAGGAAGGCTACTGGCCTCCAGAATTTAGGATTATAAGAAAATAACATTCAGAGAAATTAACAATAAAATAGATCAGATTAGGCATGTTTTAAAGATCTCCACTTAATATGATTTAAGTTGCTGAATATATTGAAGATTAGGGTGTTTCCTAAATCTTGGCTAGGGGCCCATGGTACCTGTCTTCAAATGCAAGGCATCAATTTCAACACTAATGAAAAATGAGCTGGAATATAGAAAATAATAATATGTCTGTTGAGAGAAATGAAATAAAAAATTTTTGTAAGTAATGATAAATGCAAAAAAAATTCTTTAAAAAATGAAAGTAGAACGTAAGTATTCATTCAGCTATGTACCAGAGAAAAATAGAGCAGTAAAGACTATATTTAGAAGATGCCAGAAATGCATATTTCAGAATAGCAGAAGGAAATTTACGTTTTACCCTAGCCAGGATCAATTACTTCACAGGACTACTCAAATCCCTCAACTCAGATGTTCACTGAAGTATAGACAGCCCTCAATAATCAGTATTCTGATTCTGTCAATCGTTCTTTTTTAAGGTGAATTAGAAGAAGCAAATAGCATAACCACCCCTTAAGTGGTGAAATCAAGTTTCAAAGCCTACACAACTAAACAGCAGTTTCTAGATCCACATGAACCCAGAAAGGTACTGCCAGGTGAGATGTACCTAAAACCTTACAACCATGTGCTCTCAAATACTGCCATCATTTTTTCTAACATTACATTTCACAGCAGTGATCTGGACCTTAATTATTTGTGTATTTTAACATGATTATTCCAGTCTATATGTTATAAAATAACAGTTTTCTTAATACTTGTATAATCTGTATTTTCTTTACATACCTGCTTCAGTTTTTCATCTGTGAGACAGTTAAGTTCAATAATAAATTCACTGTCTGTAGGGGAGATTTGAGCAGAAGGATCAATTATTTTAATAATATCAAGTTGCTCCCGAAGACCCATCTCCGTACTGACTTTACGACTCAAATACTCAATATATTCCACCTATGTGATAAAAAATTATAATAAACAAGATCAATGCCAAAACCTGATATTTTAGTGTGTCATTTATAATGTGTTTCAAATATCAAAAGCACTTAAATATTATATTTGTTCCCTGAAAACAGTTAAAACTCAAATTCAGATTTTACTAAGCAATCCACATTTACCCAGTAACTTTAAATTTTTTTTTTTTAACGTTTATTTATTTTTGAGACAGAGAGAGACAGAGCATGAACAGGGGAGGGTCAGAGAGAGAGGGAGACACAGAATCTGAAACAGGCTCCAGGCTCTGAGCAGTCAGCACAGAGCCTGACGCGGGGCTCGAACTCACGGACCGCGAGATCATGACCTGAGCCGAAGTCGGACACTCAACCGACTGAGCCACCCAGGCGCCCCTACCCAGTAACTTTAAATAGGCAGTACATTGAATTTCACATATTCTCTATATATATGCTTTCAATTAAGAATGTTAAGATCCTGGGATGCCTGGGTGGTGCAGTCAGCTAAGCATCTGACTCTTGATCTCAGCTCAAGTCTTGATCCTGGGGTCATTGAGTTCAAGCCCCACACTGGGCTCTGTGCTGGGTGTGAAGCCTACTTTATATAAAGAAATGGCAAGATCCCTACCTGCTCATCATTTGTCATTGCACTCCAAGGAAGTTCGTCTAAATTCTGGTGCTTGTTTTTCTTTTTAGGAAGCAGGCAAGGTGAACTCGGAATACTGGGTATGACATCAGAAAGTACATCACTCCCACTGGCAATGTCACTGCCCGGTAACTATAAAAATAAGCAGGGGGTAGGAAAAGCAAAATTTTTCAAAAATACATTTTAAATATTACAACGCACTTCATACTGATTAAAAATTATTTTTAATGACAAATACAGAATGAGAAGACATTATTTCTGATCCCTCCAATATTACACAAAGCAGCAATATCAACATATTCTTTGTAGATAGTAACTTATTCAATGAAAGATATTTTCCAAAAGTTTAAAATCATAATCAAGACTTGTTAATAATTGCTAATTTAAGAGTCAAGCATCATTAGGGTTTTTAGTTCACAATGTGAATGTAGGCTAGGGCACACACAGCATGATGAATAAGTAACACTGGTCTCCATCTCAGGAGACTTGAGTGATCTGCTACTACCTGGCTCGTTGCCCAACACTATGCTAGACATACTGCCAATATGAAGACAGATAAGCCATGGTCCTTGTGCTCAAGTTAGTATTAATAATCTCAAGGCAATTAAAAGTATTTAAAATATGCTGTTAATATGTAACAAAACATTTTAAAGATCAGAAGTATTATAAAAATCAGAAAAAATGTTGAGACAATGTGTAGACAAAGGAGAAAAGCAAGCAAGCCTAATACACAGAAAATTATTTTGAAGTGAGATGAACACCAGAATTATGTGCTATAATTTTATACTGCCTGTTAAAAGCCAGTTAGAATGGATTTAATTTTTTACCAGCTTTATTGAATTATAAGTGATACAAAGAACTGTACATAACTAATATAGACAATTTGAGGACTTTGGACATATGCATATACCCAGGAAACCATCACCACAATCAAGGTAATAGATCCATCACCTTGAAAAGTCAAAATGGATTTAATTTTAAATAAATGTGTTTAGGGGCACCTGGCTGGCTCAGTCAGAGGAGCATGTGACTCTTGATCTTGGGGTCATAAGTTTGAGCCCCATGTTGCATGTAAAGATTACTTAAATAAATAAACTTCTAAAAATAAATAAATAAAGGGATGTATGGGTGGCTTAGTAGGTTGAGCATCTGACTCTGATTTTGGCTCAGGTCATGATCTCAGGATTGTGGGATCAAGCCCCCACACTGGGCTCCATGCTGAGCATGGAGCCTGCTTAAAATTCTTTCTCTCTCTCCCTCTGCCCTTCTCCCAAGCTCACACTTATGTGCTCTCTCTCTCTCTTGCTCTCTCTCTCTAAAATAAGTAAGTTTAAGTCATTCATCAAAAAGATAATTTCTTCTACAAGGAATACGTAGCTTTCAAAGACAATGCTTTCATTTTTACAAGGTACAAAATAACACCTTTTGGTTGTTGTTGTCCTTTGCAATGATATATGAACTCTGGATGATAACTAGGCTTTTGAAGTTACCAAAAGGGAAAAGCTAGTTTAGCCATGACGATTACTGCAATCACACACATTTGGCCTCCTACTCACCCATAGCACTCTGTTAAGTACAGAGGACTCAAAGAATTTTTTTGTCCTGGTCCTTACACTAAAACTTTATTCTCCACTGGGGAAGAGAATATAATAACACAAACATACAATTATACAAAATATCAAATGACAAATGCTAGGTATGAAATGACAGATCATCAGTGGAAATATCTAGCAGTGAGTTAAAGCTACAAGATTAAAGCTTAGGAGAGCTACAAGAGGGCAGGCATGGGGAGTGAGATGCATAGAATAACCTAATGAAGACACAAATATGGGGTTGAGATCAGTATGCAAAGTGACCATAAAGCTTAGAATGAAATTATCTAAGCTACTACTGTCAAAAAAACACATTTTCATTTTAACAGTCGCTGATGAATCCAAGTGCATAAATGACTACCAACAATTTGTATGACTTCCATTAAAAACTCATTAATTGGGATGCTTGGGTGGCTTAGTCAGTTGAACATTCAACTTCGGTTCAGGTCATGATCTCAGTTTGTGAGCTCAAGCCCCATATCAGGCTCTGCACTGACACCGCAGAGCCTGCTTCGGATCCTCTGTCTCCCTCTCTCTCTGCCCCTCCCACCCTCAGGCACGCATGCTCTCTTTCTCTGAAAAATAAACATTAAAAGCCCTCATTAATTAACACTGCTTGACTTGTTCATTCACCTTTAGCCCTGATGTTATCTAGTCAATGTCATGAAAGAATAACTGCTGAATGCACACATGAAGGCCATCTTTCAGCCTTTAATGTCAAAAAAGAAAATGTTTTGGGGCTTCTGGGTAGCCCAATCAGTTAAGTGTCCAACTCTTGATTTTGGCTCAGGTCACGATCCCACAGTTAATTGAGATTGAGTCCCGTGTCAGGCTCTGTGCTGACAGCACAAAGGGATATTCTCTCTCTCTCTCTCTCTCTCTCTCTCTCTCTGTCCCTTCCCCACTGGTAAATGCTGTCTTTCCCTAAATAAGCAAACATTTAAAAAAGAAAATATCTTGCTATTTTCCCTTTGAAAGAGTTCAAATCACAATACTACTACATTAAAGATCTCCCTGGGGTTTCTAAAACAAAAAGAGACAGTCCTTATCATATGAAAGCCTTCCCTTACTTCAAGCTCCTTTGATAAACTATGTAAAGGAACTAACAAAATATGTATACCCTCAAAATTTAAGAAGAATTTTCATCTAAATCTTTAGCGAACTTCTGCTAGGTAGCAGACTATGTTAAACACTTAAATTTGTGCCTTTAGTACTGTTTATGTGTTTGTTTGCGGGGGGGGGGGGGC